TATTTACAAAGGAAGTAGTTAAAAGGTACTCATCAATGCTCACCAGTATCATAAGACGATCAAAACTCTCCTATTAAGAGAATACTGTATTATAGGCATATCTTGTTCATATGTCTGACATATCCTGCTCATATAGCAGACACATCTTGCTCATATGGCAGACATATCTTGCTTATATGGCAGACATATGTATGTATGTAGACATATCTTGCTCATATTGCAGACATATATATGTAGACATACTGTCTCCACTCGATTATCCGGAGTATATGGGAAGGACCCCCAGCCGGATAACCAAGTTTTCCAGATAAAAGTACTTTTTCACCTCCGAGTCCAAAAGGGCTGGACCATTTCCAGCAATTTTTATACCACACTCATGATTTAAATTGACACACACTAATTAGTGTGTGGGGCTGGATGGGTAGTTAGCTGCCTAGCTGGTAGGTGGGCAGGGAAAGTGGGTGGGTGGGCAGGCAGGGATAGGTGGGTTCAGGTAGGTGGGTTTTGGATGGGTGGATAGCAGGCAGATGGGCTTGGTGGGTGAATAGGTTCGAGCAGGCAAGTGGATGGGTGGGTGAGCAGGCAGGTGGGTTGGCAGATGGAAATGCAGGCAGGCAGGTACTCACCTAGTTGTGCTTGCGGGGGTTGAGCTCTAGCTCTTTGGTCCCGCCTCTCAACCGTCAATCAACAGGTGGGTGAATAGGTGGGTAGGCATGCATGCAGGTGGGTGAACAGGTGGGTGGGTGGGCGAGCATTCAGGTGGTTGGGCAGGCAGGCAGGTGGTTGAACAAGTGGGCTATCAGGCAAGTGGGTGGGTGGCCTATCAGGCAGGTGGGTGGGTGGCCTATCAGGCAGGTGGGTGGGTGGGCTATCAGGCAGGTGGGTGGGCGAGCAAGAAGGTGGGTGAACAGGTGAGTGGTTTGGCAGGTGGGTGGGTTGGCAGGTGGATGGGTAGGCAAGCAGGCAGGTGGGTGGGTTGGCAGGTGGGTGAACAGTGGCTTAGTTGGCAGGTGGGTATGTGGACATGCAGGCGACACAGACTGTACCTGGTTTCCCCTTCCCCCCTCCCCTCCCTTCATGACTTTTGACACATATGCGCCTTAAGTTCTGTTAAATCCCATTTTATTTTCTTGCAAATATTCAAATGAATAAATAGCAAACCAAATGCTGTACAGTACTGTTCAACTATTATAGTGTAATTTTTAATATTCGTAACTAGCTCTCCACAGCAATAAGAAAACAATATAATTCTTGCAACACCTCCAACACCACTTTCCTGGGTAGGCTTAAGCGAGTCACATCTGTTACCCCACACACTCAACACTTCTCCCTCCCTCCTTCCCTTCCTGATCGACTCCCTCCCTCCTTCCCTTCCCTTCCTGATCGACTCCCTCCCTCCTTCCCTTCCCTTCCTGATCGACGACTCCCTCCCTCCTTCCCTTCCTTCCTGATCGACTCCCTCCTTCCTTCCCTTCCCTTCCTGATCGACTCCCTCTCTCCTCCCTTCCCTTCCTGACCAACTCCCTCCCTCCTTCCCTTCCCTTCCTGACGACTCCCTCCCTCCTTCCCTTCCCTTCCCTTCCTGATCGACTCCTCCCTCCTTCCCTTCCCTTCCTGATCGACTCCCTCCTTCTTCCTTCCCTTCCTGATCGACTCCCTCCCTCCTCCTTCCCTTCCTTCCTGATCGACTCCCTCCCTCCTTCCCTTCCCTTCCTGATCGACTCCCTCCCTCCTTCCCTTCCCTTCCTGATCGACTCCCTCCCTCCTTCCCTTCCCTTCCTGATCGACTCCCTCCCTTCCTGACCGCCTCCCTCCCTCCTTCCCTTCCCTTCCTGATCGACTCCCTCCCTCCCTCCTTCCCTTCCTTTCCTGACCGACTCCCTCCCTCCTTCCCTTCCCTTCCTGATCAACTCCCTGCCACCTTCCCTTTGGGAGGGAATTATGGACAGTTGAACTGTGACCTTTAAGCAGTGTGTGTATGGGGCGGGTGGGGGGTGGTGGGGGGGGAGGGACGGCTTACTCGGATAACCCTACACTCGTCACCAGTAGCCAGAATTGTTTCTTAAATTTTGTTTCTTAAATACTGGATGTACAGTACATGATCATATATATATATTTTGGTTACAGATTTTGTTTAGCAATATTATTAGGATAATAAAAGGTATAAAAATACTTGTTTCATGAATGCTTTATTGTATTGGATGGAAATTCTCCAGGCTGGCAATCTACTTCCACCTACAGAAGGATCTCTTGGGCAGGGAGGGAGCGAGGAAAAGTGAATGTGGGCGGGACAGAGGAAGTTAACAGCAGTGAGGGGTGACTCCCTTCCTTCTCGGTGGGAAGGGAGGGAGTGAGTGGTGTGGTAGTGTACAACGAGTGTTAGGCCACTGATCTGGCCAAACACCCGATTTTCCGGCTTCTATGGACATTTTGGCCGGATATTGAGATATCTTTATCCAGTCACGATTTTGGCCGTATAAGTGCGTTTTCCGGATATTCGAATCCCGGATAATCGAGTCTACAATATTTTGCTTATATGGCCGACATATTATGTAGACATATTTTGCTCATATATCAAACATATATATATAGAAATATTCCATTAAAACTGTCACTAAGAGGATCACAAAATTGAAATTGTTTACAATATATGACAAAATCTTAATGCATAGGTATACTAAATTTAAGTTCTTTTGTTGAATCCTATTAAAATAATTACCCAAACAAAACCTAAAACCTAAAATTATGATTATCTGCATGATCAAATGCACACTATATTTGCTCCATGCGAAGTCATTTGGGTACTGGGATACTGATGCAAGATTTAGCTTCTATACAATAATTGATGTATTATTAAATGTCATTTACTTAAAACATTTCAGACACTGACAACTAACCTACTGTAGTTTCTCTCAAGTATGGACTCTCTTGTGTTTGTGAACGCTCTGTTTATGTTTAAAAGATTTCAAACACACTGAACACTGGTATGGCCTCTCGCCTGTATGAACTCTCATGTGAGTTGCAAGATGCTCTTTTCGTGAAAAAAATTTTGTACACTCTAGACATTGATAGGGTTTAACTCCTGTATGAATTTTCATGTGTGATAAAAGATTGCCTCTTTGCTTAAAAAGTTTCAGACACTCTGAACACTGATAAGGATTCTCTGAAGAATGATTTCTCATATGTGTTACTAAAACAGATTTACATGAATAGTATTTCAGACACTCTGAACACTGATATGGTGTATGTTCTGTATGAACTCTCGAATGTGTTACTAAAGCAGATTTACATGACAAATATTTCAGACACACTGAACATTGATATTGCTTAGGTTTTGCATGGACCTTTGCATGCTTTACTAAAGCAGATTTACGTAAAAAGTATTTATGACATTTTGGGCACTGATATGAGTTATCTCTTGTATGAATCTTTGTGTGATTTCTTAATGTAGATTTAAGTACAAAGTATTTTAGACACACTGAACATTGATATGATGCCTTTCCTGTGTGATGTTTTGCATGTGTTGTCAGATATCGCTTTTGTGTAAAACGTTTCGGACAATCTGAACACTGGTATCTTTTATCTTTTTCATGGACTGTCAAATGTCTTATAAGATCAGTTTTATGCTTAAAATAGTTCAGACACTCTGAACACTGAAATGGTCTCTCTCCTGTATGAACTTTCATATGGTTAACTAAACTACCTTGATGAGCAAAACATTTCAGGCATTCTGAGCACTGATAGGGTTTCTCTCCAGTGTGTACTCTCATATGTACTACAAGGTTGCCTTTTTGCATAAAATATTTCTGACACTCAGAACATTGATATGGTTTCTCACCAGTATGAAGTTTCGAATGTATTGCGAGAGCAGATTTATTTGAGAAGCATTTGAGACACTCAGAACACTGATATGGTTTATCTCTTGTATGAACTCTCATATGAGTAATTAGATTAGCTTTACAAGTAAAATTCTTCAGACATCCTGAACACTGAAAGGGTTTCTCTCCTGCATGAAATTTCTTGTGAGTTACTAGAGTAGATTTATATGCAAAGCATTTTTGACACTCATCACACTGAAATGGTCTGTTTCCTGTATGAGCTTTAATGTGCGTTACAAGGTTTTCTTTTCGTGAAAAACTTTTCAGGCACTCTGAACACTGATAGGGTTTCTCTCCTGTATGAAGTCTCATGTGTGTTACTAGAGTATATTTACTTTTATAGACTTTTGAACATACTGAACAACAGTAGAGCTTTTTACCAGTTTCAGTTTTCACAGTATACTCTTCTGACAAATTAGAATAAATATTCATTGTTGTAATGACTGGTATAGTCTAGCTTTTGTTGTAATGACTGGTATAGCCTAGCTTTTGTTGTAATAACTGGTATAGTCTAGCTTTTGTTGTAATAACTGGTATAGTCTAGCTTTTGTTGTAATGACTGGTATAGTCTAGCTTTTGTTGTAATGACTGGTATAGTCTAGCTTTTGTTGTAATGACTGGTATAGCCTAGCTTTTGTTGTAATGACTGGTATAGTCTAGCTTTTGTTGTAATGATTGTTAAAGCCTAGCTTTTGTTGTAATGACTGGTATAGCCTAGCTTTAGTTGTAATGATTGTTATAGCCTAGCTTTTGTTGTAATGACTGGTATAGTCTAGCTTTTGTTGTAATGACTGGTATAGTCTAGCTTTTGTTGTAATGACTGGTATAGCCTAGCTTTTGTTGCTATTAATCTAAATGGTTAAAATCTCTTGGTTAAAATACCAGTTTGTTTTATTTTTGTTAATTTTGATGTTTCATTTGTGTTTGCAAGTACAGTATGTTAAATTGAAAATTAGTAAATGTATGCATATATGTGTAATTACCTAAGTGTAGTTACAGGATGAGAGCTATGCTCGCGGTGTCCCGTCTACCAAGCACTCTTTGTTGTATAATGCTTTGAAAGTTCTGACAGTTTTGGCCTCTACCACTTACTTACCTAACTTGTTCCAAATATCTACCACTGTTTGCGAAAGTGAATTTTCTTATATTTCTTTGGCTGATTTGTTTAGTTAGTTGTAATCTATGATCTCTTGTTGAGATCTATGATCGATTCCTATTACTATCTTGTACGTAGTGATCATGTGTAAAGTTTCCCACGTGTTTTCGTGAGGGGTTGCGTCCCTATACCCCACGAGGACAGAGAGAGGCCAGACTTCACTCACAGAGTGTGTTTGTGGAGTGCGCTCATGAGGTGTCCACCTCACTGGGTGAGGATATTTCCTTCAGTCATTTCAGTGTACTAGAGGATCATCATCCCTCTGGTGAGTGAAATTATTCCCTGTTGTATGATGTCCCATTCCCTGTGTCCTTTAATTAATGAATGTAATGCATGCACCCTGTTCATTAAAGTTCCACCAATTCAAAATATTGAGTCGACTCTGAGTGTTTACTCTTGTGTTCGAGGATATTATAATAAAACATTTGTACTGTATTTCTGATTTAAAGTAACAAAAAAATGTGCCAAGTAAGGAATAAGGAACAGGTTTCGATAGTTTGTACTCCAGTGTTTGGTTTAAAAGAACGTGCCTCTTACATTGTTATTTCTTATAAACTTTCATGTATTTTTTCTTTAGGATAAAATAAAGCTTGTCAACTCAAATAAGGCTGTCAGAAAAAATAATAGGAATATCAGCTATTACTCAAATGCTGTCTGCACAGATATGTCTTGAAGGCTTCTTGATCAATGGTATCAGGGAAGATTAAGGGTTGTGGTTTGTTCTTTCATATATCTGTGGAATAAAAAATGAGATATCTAAAGCCTTTAATCTTAAATTTACGAAAGATAATATAAAATATAAATGTGTTTTGGATGAAAAAGTACAAAATTTAGAAATAAATGTTCATAAATTTTATCAAGAATTAATACATTTATAATACATTACAAGAAAGTGCATAGTAATTTTTTGCTGTAATATATTTTGCATTAAATTCCCACGTAAAGAATACAACGGACATCCTGAGATTATATAATTAAGTACACAAATTAACCTCTCAACTGTGCAGCGCTTGGAGGCCCTCGACGGGGGGTGCGCAAAGCGCCTCTGGGTATTTTTATTTTTAGCGTACGATTCAGAACTCCCGCGGCTACATGGGGTTCACATCAGCTTCCTCAGGGCTCTTGTAAACAGATGCCATTTAAAAAAAAAATCATGGGCAACATTCTCGGGTGTTAGGGCCTCAGTACTGAGTGAGCAACCAAGGCTGGCGCACGCAGCATGAGCTCACAGCACTGCTGTTCAGCTTGTGACCACAGCATCACCTAATAATGTCAAGATATATATATAACTGGTATTATTTAGCCATGATAGTATTACAGAAGAGTAAGTAAGTAATTATCAAAGGAAGGCACCAAACTGGGAAAGCTATGTAGCACCATCAAATGTGCGGGATAATCAGAGGGCGCTAAATATCACCAAGGATGCCAATACGAGAACTGAAATGCATAAGGCGAATGATATCAAAAGTATCCGAGTCACCAAGAATACTATTGAGGGACAAGCGACCGCGGGGGACGGTCGGAAAACAAGGACACATGCTCTTCCCGGAAGTCAGGACATTCAACAAGGATCTTCTTGAGATGATTTCGGGGCTTTAGTGTCCCCGCGGCCCGGTCCTCGACCAGGCCTCCACCCCCAGGAAGCAGCCCGTGACAGCTGACTAACACCCAGGTACCTATTTTACTGCTAGGTAACAGGGGCATAGGGTGAAAGAAACTCTGCCCATTGTTTCTCGCCGGCGCCTGGGATCGATATGCACAACCGTAAGAGGGACAATGCAATTAGGACAATAAGGAGCAGGACGGCGCTCCATCAAGTGACCACGAGTTAAGCGAGTATTGGCAATACGCAACCTTGCCAGAGCCATTTCCCATCACCGGTTACAGTGGTAGGAGGACGGCCACGAGGACACACAACTCTTAAGGGTACGCAGTTTGTTACTGGTAACAGACGACCAACAAGCCTGCCAACGGGTAAGGATGGAGGAATGGATAACCGGGTAAAAGTCGGAATAAGGAATACCTTTACGAGAGATGGGACAAGAGCGGACAGCTTCCCTGGCGGAGGCATCCACACGCTCATTTAAAGAGACACCGATATGGCTGGGAACCCAACAAAACTCAACCAACTTAAATTTACTGTGAACAAGAAACAACCAACGCTGGATCTTAACAACCACTGGATAAACTGGATTAAAGGACCCGAGAGCCATGAGGGCACTCCTAGAGTCAACAACAACTACAAAGGAAGATTGACAACGAGAAAGCAGGAGACGAAGAGCATAGAGAATAGCATAAAGTTCCGCTGTAAAGATGCTAGTCTCCGGAGGTAAGCGACACATATAAGTGCAATCAGGAAAAACAACAGAGTAGCCAACACCGTCCGCAGACTTAGACCCATCGGTGAAGATGGAAACGGAGCAGGAGTGAGAAGAAAAATGCTCAAGGAAAAGTCGTTTTAGAACCGTAGGAGGGGTAAAAGCTTTGGTGATGCGGGTTAAAGATGTACAAAACTGCGAAAGGGGGATTCTCCAATGGGGCAAAGAATGAACAACACGAGGAGAACTATTAGAAATATGAACCGAAAGAGAATCTTGTAAGCGAGATAACCGGACAGAAAGAGGGAGGTGGTGAAGAGGAACAGGAACCGCAGGAGGGGTAAAAGTTAAAGCACGACAGAGACGAGAGGAAGGATGTTGCAAGGACTGCGCAAGGTAGTGAAGACAGTAGTGATCACGGCGGTCCTGGAGAGATAGGAAGTGTCAACAACAAACTAAGGACGGGAGTCGAACGATAGGCACTAGAACTGAGGCGCAACCCAGTATGGTGCAAAGCATCAAGACGGCGAAGAGTAGAAGGAGAAGCAGACGAGTAAGCAGGGCATCCATAATTGAGCTTAGACAGGACGAGAGAGGAATGTAAAGCGAGTAGTGCACACCTACCCACTCCCCAAGAAGTATGGGACAATACCCGAAGGAGGGTAAGGGCCGACCTTACCTTACGAGATATGGGGCGACCAAGACAAACGAGTGTCAAAAATCAAACCCAAAAGCTTAGCGGAATCCTTGTACACAATGGGGTGACCATAAAGCGATAAAGAAGGACGAAGAACGACACGCTTCCGAGTAAAAGTCATAGCACAAGTCTTAGATGTAGAAAACCTGAAGTCATGATCGGTGGCCCAAGACGACACGGCATCAATGGCAAGTTGAAGCCGGCGTTGAAGGAGAGATGAATCATCACCCTGACAGCAAAGGGTAAGATCGTCGACATAAAGAGTGGAGAAGACGCCTGAAGGAAGAGAGGAAAGAAGACCATTGAGGGCAACCAGAAAAAGAGTAGTGCTCAGAACACTACCTTGGGGCACACCTTCGTACTGCTGAAAAGAGGAAGAGAGAGCGGTACCAAGCCTCACCCGAAAGGAACGATGGGAGAGGAAGCTGCAGAGAAAGAGACGGAGATGACCACGAAGGCCAAAAGAATGAAGTTGGGATGGAATATATTGCCAAGCAGTGTCGTAGGCCTTTTCCAGGTCAAAAAGAATGGCAACAATGGAGGTCTTTGCGGCAAAAGCAGTACGAATATAGTCCTCCAAGTTCACCAGGGCATCTGTTGTGCTGCGGCATGTGTGGAAACCAAATTGAGAAGGGGAGAGGTGGTGATGGTGTTCTAAGAACCACATCAGACGAACGTTAACCATATGTTCAAAGAGTTTGCAGACACAACTTGTGAGGGCAACAGGGTAAAAGTCCTTAGGAGATGTTCCTAGAGACCCTGGTTTGTGAACAGGGAGGACAACGGCATCGTGCTACTCCTCAGGGATTGACGACGACTCCTAGATCCGATTATACAGACTCAGTAAATACTGAGACGTGCATGGAGGGAGATGGCGAAGCATCTCATAATGAATGCCATCGGAGCCCGCCGACGTAGAACCACAGAGGGCCTGGGCAGACCTCAAGATAAGAGGGCCAGGGCAGACCGAAGTTCAGAGAGAGAGAGAGAAGGGATCCTTAACACTTTCTGCGGATGAGGACTCCTCCCGGCGTCCTGTTTCGCCTACCCGCTCCCGCATGGTGGACATAAATTTATGTCCTCTTTTAAAATATTTGTATAAAATTCAAATTTAATCCGATTTACTTTGGGTTTGTTTCAAACTGCGCGCCATGAGGCTCTCTTTCTCACCACTAGGCTGCATGGTACAATAAGTTCATGAAAGGTATGGACCACTTCGATCAAATGGTATGGATCAATTTGAGTCAGATGACTCTGACTCAAATGTTGAACCTCCAGCGATTCAGTTGATTCTGAAAATCGCATGAACTACAAACTGAAACGAGTATTTTGATACCAGAATGAACACTGTATCACATAAACTGCCATAAGTAGACTCGAACCTTCATAGATTTTTTTTTGGGTGTTGCGTGTGTCTGCATGAGTGTCCCAAACGGGTTGCAGATGGGTGACTTTAGCCGTTTATACTGGTAATGTATTTTGTATTTTGATACCAGAATGAACACTGTATCACATAAACTGCCATAAGTAGACTCGAACCTTCATAGATTTTTTTTTGGTGTAGCGTGTGTCTGCATGAGTGTCCCAAACGGGTTGCAGCTGGGTGACTTTAGCCGTTTATACTGGTAATGCTTCCCCCATATCATGTATTATATGCATATGTTTGTCTAGGGAATTTTATTCCGATCAATGTACAACCAAAAATAACTGTGTGCAACAAGTATAAACTTGACAAACATAACAAAAGTAAAAACATTTCGTGTGTGTTTGACGCTCACTGATATGTTCCAGCGTTGTTTTATATTTGGCGCTTTTCTATCTTACGCTTTGTTGATTTTTTTTACCTACGGGCTCATAGAACATTCTATTGTGAACACATTGACACAAAAATGAATGACGTACATAGAATAATATTGTCAGGAGAGTGAAATAAGTATAAACTTTCAAAGCGCCGTATCGCACATGTGTCGTCCCGTCACCGATACCGGGTAACAATTTCACCACTTCCCACACTATTGCGGGTGGGCCGCAATCATTATTCTACGTTTATATTCATATCACCGTGTTGGGAATTTCATTGCGAGTCCATTGATACCAAAATTAACGCTGTAGGACAAGTGTGGAGGTGATAACAATCCCAAGAGTAAAAACATTTTGTTGCTGTTGGGTGCTCACAGCGAGTCATCTTCGTAGTTATTTATTTGGTGCTGGTATTCCTATAGGTTTCGTGACTTTTTTTACTGATGTTCTTCTAGAGAATTTTATTGCAAACACGTTGGTACCAAAATGAAATATGTAACTCGAGAACTAAGGTCAGGAGAGTAAAAAGGGTATACACATTTTTGTTTTTACGCTTACGCGGCAAAAACGCCGCGCGCACATACCGCATTTTTTTTAACCATCCCAGGGGGTGCGAAAGTGTTAAAGGGAAGGCAAAGATGAGTACAGAAATCCAAAGGACAAGATTCAAGGACAGGCTTACGAAGAAGGAAAGATTGGGGAAGATGAAAACCAGAACAGAAGAAAAGTGGGAACCCAGTTCGGTAGCGACCTGCAACGGGTTCGCCACAAGAGTACCACAGAAGTGAAAGACCGGTGAGACATCGGGAACGAACTTACCTGCTATCTTGCGGATACGCTTCCAGATCTGTGGTAGAGGAGTTTCGAACGCAATGGTGGAGACATAAGATGCCCAACATTCACGTTTAGCTGTACGGA